CCAGTCTTATGGACCGGCAAGAGCTCAGGTCTCCCAAGAGTGCATCAACTCAAACCAAAAGTTAATATGAATCCTCCAGAGAGAAGAAAATCATTGAGGTTGTTCAGTACCAGGTGGCTCCTGAAAAGCCTAAAGAGGAACTTGAGAGGGAATGAGAACCTTTTTTGGGTCTGAGAAGTAACATAAAACTACAAGAGGGCTTGTATGAGGATGGAGCACATCAAAGGTTTCTATAAATGCACATCTTTTTGGCACTCCAGCCAATTTTTTTTTTAACAACGATAGCTGAAATTCAAGAAGACAGCTTCTACTTTCTAAGGAAGTAAACTGACCTTGACTCAAGGGAGCCTGGACGAGCCAGAGCAGCACGTGCACGCCCCAGAGGAGGTACGGTCTGAGGGAGCCCTCACCAGGCTGCCCTGAAAAAGGAAACCTCCCTACAAAATGAATTCTCAATGGCCCACTGGAGCTGGACACTTGAAAGAGGCACTGGGGTTATCTGTGAAATTCCAATTAAATTGAAAGGCTTTGATAATTTGATAAGCGGCTCCTTTGACTCAAAACACACCGTTATTTGATCTGGTGCTTGTATTTGAGAAGGTATCAGGAGAGGGAAAGACAGAGGAGAGAAACAGAGAATGTCAGAAAGTAGAGTCTAAGGAAGCTGCAGAAAGGACATAAATGTTGTTAGAGTTATTATTATTCAGAAAGGATAAAATCTGAAAGGAGCTGTGAAAATTTTGCTTATATTTCTCTGACCTCTCTAATCGAGAAAGGTTCACATTCACACACACACACACACACACACACACACACGTTCTTCCCAGTTCCAGAGAGGAGCTAACATAGCAACACCAAGTTAGAGAAGGCAGGGGCTAGTGAGGAAGTCTGTAGGAACCACCCTGCCAGGTCTAAACACTGCTCCCAGGGCCAAAGTCATTGCTATTGTCCTCATTCTACTCTGTGGCCACTGAGACCCTAGAACCCTCAGGACCAATTCAGAATCTAAATAAGAATCTAACCCGATCCAGCACACTCCCACCCCTACTGGGAAGGTCAATTCAATGCAATTCAATCTGTTGAACATACATTAAGCCCCTATTGATCATGTGCAAGCCATTGTGATAGGTGCTAGAATACAGCACCTATCACAATGTGGAATACACAAAAAAGTCCCTGTCACATCTGTCCCCTTCTTTCCACTCATACCACAACCTCAGCAGTTCACGACCTTATCACTTCTCCTGGGACTGTCAAAATAGCTTCCTATTTGGTTTTTCTCTAGCCAGCCTTTTCCTTCTCCAATCCATCCTTCAAACAGCTAACAATATTTCTTTCCTCCAACCTCCAAAGTGATATTCTTCAAGCCCAGGTCAGATCATATCACTCAAGAAACTTCAGCCATTCTCTATTGTCTCTAATTAATATTGAAATTCCCCTGTTTGTCATTTAGCTTCACAATCTGGCCATCTTGACCACTCTGTGACCTGTGTCACTGTAAACCACCCTCTTCTGCTTGAAACCCTCTTCTCTGCACGTTTTCATGGCACTGCTTCCTCCTGGTTCTCCTCTCACCTGTCTGACAACTCTTCTGTCTCCTTTGATGGACCTTCATCCATCAGGTGCATGTCAGGTCATGCCCACTAACTGTGGGTGTCCCCCAAGGCTCTGTCCTGGGCCCTCTTCTCTTCTGCCTTGGTGATTTCATCAGCTCCCAGATTCAATTATCGTCTCTATCCAGATGATTGATTATCAAATCTACTTGTCCAGCCCTAATAGCTCTCTTGGCCTCCAGTCTCACATTTCAAACTTCCATTTGGACAAAACAAACTAGATATCTTGTAGGTATCTTAAACTCAACTTGACCAAAGCTAAACTCATTATTTTCCCCCCAACTTCTTCCCACTCCTCTTCCTAACTTTCCTGTTATGTTCCCTCCTTCACACTGACCCAGCCACATCTCTCCATCTGACCTCTGGGGCATTCCACCTTTCCTTCTGCCTTCTCTGTCAGGTTGCTTCTCACTCAGCAACAAATAGTATATCATCAAGAACACATGTGACCAGAAAAGACGATGGGCCAGAAGTAAGAGATGAGGGTTGCTCTGGAGGCCAAGATTTTAAGAAACAGAAGGAGGATCCATTATATGAGATAAATCCTCTATAGAGAATTAATAGAAAGACACAGGCAAGAATTGTACAGGGGGAGGGGATCAACTGTAATTTGCAACAGAGAGGATGAAATTGCAGTGGTACAAGGAAAAGAACACTGGCTCAAAAGAAAGAAAAGATCATCAATGAAACATTAAAAAATACAGAGATAAAAACAGAAAGAAGTTCAGAAGGGGACAGAGACAGGGCAGCATAGGTATTATCGTGCTAAATTTAATACACACTTTTTAAAAATGGGCCATACATGATAGAGACAGTTTCCTATACAATCCTCTTTTTCTGTTCTTCTTTGGATATTAATGTGTTCATGTTTGCTGACGTTTGTTAAGTTCAAAATGATTTTTTTAAAAAGAAAGAAGGAAAGAACACTAACCCCTGGAGTCAGAGGACCTGGGTTCAAATCCCACCTATTAGTTCCTATCCACCATCTATCTTCACTGGGATTGATTCTCCCCGTGGGGATTACCCTCTACCTGGGGAGTGCCAAAGACTAACGCAGAACTAAAGAGAGGGAAAATCTGTGAGACCACTTGCTGCTCTTTCATAGCCAAGAACTTGTGGCCTCCCCATAAAATTAAATTTCCCAGCCAGAGACTGAATTCTTCTTAAGAGACAGGGAGATAAGCTTTTTCTTCATCTCCCTCATAGTTCCTAAAAGGAGACTGGGCCTATTTGATAAAGATATGCTGGTTGGCTGATCAAATACTTCCTAATGGAGACCTTCATTACCTCCTTCCTAGGAAATCATAATACCAGAGTTTCTCTCTTCCACTTTTTCAAGCTATTTTTTCCCTCCTTAATGGCCATCACTTCCAAATAACTACTCCCAATCCTCAATATGTCTCTTTCTTGTAACAAAGTATAGGAAAACAACAGAAATCAACACGTAGACCATCGTCTAACAGTGCATGTCTTACGCCACACCTGTAGCCCACCACCTCCCTGCCAACCAGGAGGAGTCTTCTGGAGTCAAGCCTGGGAATTGCATTGATCTGAATTCTGAGGTCTTTTAGAGTCTCCTACACCACTTTGCTTCAAATTACTGTGGTGATTGTACTTCTTCTCTTGGCTCTCTTATCTCACCTTCCATACATATGTTTCTACGTGTCTCTTGATTTTTCATCTGTGTGTTTCTTAGAGTACAATAATATTTCATTATGTTGACATACCACAATTTGTTCAGCCATATTCCAACAGATGGGTACCCATTGGTTTTTAGCTTTTTTTGCTACCACGATGAATGCTGCTACAAGTACGTCATATATAGGAACTTTCTTCATGTCGCTAACCTTTCAGAGTAGAATTGCTGGGTCAGAGGGTATCAATAATTTAGTAACTTTTCTCCTCTAGTCCAAGTTGAAATCTACAAATATATTAATATGTCTGTCTTCCCTAAACCTCTGAAATACTATTTCTTTTATCATCTTTTATAATTTGATAGGTATGAAGTTAACCTCAGACTTATTTTAAGTTGAATTTCCCTTATTAATATTTGGAGCATTTTTCATATGGTTATTGATCATTTGCATTTCTCCTGAAAATTGTGTATGTCTTTTGACCTCTTATCTACTGGGGAGGTACTCTTGATCTTACATATACTGTGTCAATTACCCACACATCTTGATAGCAGACTTTTATCCAAGATATTTGATGCAAATATTTTTTCCACTTGATAGTTCTTGCATTATCCTAGCTGCACTGACTTTGTCCGTGTAAAAGCTTTTTAATTCTAAGTATTTGAAATTCTCTATTTTATCTATTTTTCTTATTTACATCTCCAGTGTTTAGTGCAGTGTCTGACACACAGTAGGTGGTTAATAAATGTTTACTGAATTACTGAATTAATTCTTTTATGATCATTTCTGTCCCTTTTCCTTTCTAACCCTAGATTTGAAAGTTATATATATATATATACATACATACATATGTGTGTATGTGTGTATAGATGTGTATGTGTACACATGTCTGCATATGTATGTATATACCCATACACATATACATGTGTGTATGTATATTGCATATATGTATGCATTATGCATATACACATATATACATATATGTGTGTGTTGTGTGCATGCATGTGTGTGTATATGAACATGGACATACATCCAAGGAGCCAACAGTCAAATAATATAAGGCAAAAGTCAACCCTATAATTACCATCTTTCCCCAGCCTTCTCTGCCTTAGACCTGCAGTATCTGGGACAGCCATGGCTTGACCAGGACTGGCATTTCTTTTTCAGCAGGATCCCTGAACTCCCAAAGGACCAGATTTTCCACACTTTCTCCACAGTGCTTGGCACACATTAGACACTTATTAAATGGCTTTTGGTTGATTGAAACTAGAAGAAGCCTCCCAAACAAGCATTCCATTCAGCCCCATCCCTCCTTTCCCCAGAAGTCGTGCCAGATAGGACATTCAGAGCCCAAAGTGACTCGACTGGCAGACTGAGGCACCCATTAAGAACTGATAGCCATTTTTCAGGAACCCCATTTCCTCTCTTGCTGGGCCCACCACTCACTCCTAGAGGTTTAATGACCCCTGGCTGATAAGGAGGTAAGAGGAATAAACAGGACAAGCTCTCCAATTAGTTCTATCAGCAGGGAACCAGGAAGGAGTAGGCTGGGGTTTGTCTGGATTTTCTTCCCTCTTCCCTTGTTTTGATCAAGAGCCAATCCCCCTTTGTTGTTACCTTCCCCTATAACATCTGCAAACAACCAGACACACTGAGTGTCTTCCAACCCACAAACCAGGCTACTCTGAATGGACTTTGGTATCTCTCTGAAGCCACAGAGCTGATCAAAGGAAGGGCTGGTCATGGTACTTACTCTTTGGGGGGATTGACATCCTCTGGCCGGGCCTCAAAGAACCGAAAGACTTCATCACACTGGGAGATGTGAGGGGGCAGGCGGACAAGTGCCTGGGGGAACAAAAAAAAAATCAAGAAGGGGCATGAAAGAAGAACCGGGTGCCTGCAAGGGAAGCAAATAGTTATAGGAGTTAATTGAGGCTGAGCATGCCAGGGGACCAAACACCAATTGGCCTATGGAGACCACCAGCCACCAAGCACTTAATGGACACTAACTCTGGGGCAAGCCTTGCTCTTGACTACGTGATGGGGGAGAAAAAGAAATTAGAGATGTTGTTCCCATCATCAGGGACCTATCAGTACAGTTGGGGAAACCATTTAAAAACCACTAAATAATTAGAATTTTTAAAATTCAGAATTTAGAGAAGAGTGGTAAACATAAATCTCATCCCATCCACAAAATAGCCTTGTGAATTAGCCTGATCTGATATTGTTATCCCTTTTTTCTCATACATTACATTACAAAGATGTCATAGGAGCTGCCTAGAGTTACATGACTAGTTAAGTGGCAGACTACAATCTGAGCCTTTGAGGGCAGGAGATATTCAAAAAGCATTTATTAAGCCCCCTACATTGTGATGGATGTGGAATACAGAGGCAAAATTGGGGCAAACCCAAATGTCCCTGCCCTCAAGGAGCATACATTTTACTAGGGAGGATATAGAATTTAGATAGAATGGAAACTCCATGAGGGCAGGGACTGTGTTGCTTTTTTTGTATTTGTATCCCTAGCCTTAGCATAGTCCCTGGCACAGAAGTGCTTAGTAATGGTTTTTTTGCTTCTAAGTTCAAGATAATATGAGGCAGGAAAGAACAACACCATCTAGACCCTAGTTATTTGGGAAATCAGGAAAGGATCAATTTCTCATAGACGATGGTTCTTAAAACATTTTTGTGTCCTAGATCCTTTGGGCAATCTGGTGAAGTCTATGGACTCCTTCTCAGAATAATAATTTTAAATGCACAAAATAAAATACATGAGATTACAAAGGAAACCAATTATATTGAAATAGTTAATATATAAATATGTTATATATTATATAGCACATAATACAATAATTATATATGTAATTAATTTAAATAGTATATAGTAATATAATATATGTTCACATATAATGTAATATTGTTATATTGTTATTGTATATAATATATTAATTTAATATATAATATATTCATATATATTTAAATTAAAGGCCCCCTAATAGAAGATAGTACCCAAATTGAGCCTTGAAGTAAAGTAAGGATTCTACCCAGTGGAAGAGAGCAGGGAGTACATTGCATGCATGAGAGGGAGATAGCCTATGCCAAAGAGGAAGATGGAGTGGGAGTCAATGTGTATTACAATTCGGCATAAATGAGGGAATTCTTGTCTTGGAGGAAGCAAGAAAAAGTGCCAACCATCTGTTTGGCCACCACTAACCCCAGCAGGCAACAGGCTGTTTTAAAATTAAAATCAAACTCGGGGCAAAATGGAATGTCTCTTTGTGGAGAATGAGATGGCTTCTTTTCTTGGGGGAGAGGGCAAGACAAGGACAATGATGAGTCTGGATCTTTGGCTCAGACAAAGAAGCCTTTTGGAGGAACAGCCATGGAGTTTTTATTAAACAGAGCACCCCACAACAGGAAAAGACAACGGAACCCCTTTATTATGGCATACAAAAGGGACTCTGATCTCAGATAAAACCTGTACAAATTAGCTTCCCAGGACCAGCTCCTAAAATCACTCCTTGTTGAAGGGAATTGGCCAGAGGTGGTGATTCCATTATTTACCTCCAGAGCACATTTGCATGTCAGGACTAGATGAGTCCTTTGAAATCACCAGGCTCAACCTATTCAGTTTTTACAAATTAAGAAACTGAGGCCCAGAGACGGTAAGGAACATGCCCAAGGTTATACCCACTGGGTTAGCCAGTGGTAGACCTGAGGCTAGGACTCAGATTTCCTGGCTCCCAACCCAGTGCTCTTTCCATCACATCTGGCTAGAGAAAATGAGCAACAGAGGGTGTCTGAGGAGTCAGTCTCTCCTCCAGCAAGGAAAACACATGAAAAATGAAATGTCTTTTTCTCCAGGTCTAGGATCAACCTTCTTCAGAGGTGGACACTCACTTATCAGATGCCAGAAGTTCTCTAATTATAACATTATCCCTTGCTAAAATACAAATATCCTTGACTAGAGCAACATTAAACCATTATGAGTCAGTAATACTTTAGTATGAATTAGTTTACAAAATTAACTAGTACATTTGATTTTTCCCAGTGGCTTTAAGAGGCCTGAAGTAACATTAAAAAATCTCCATGAGTTATACACATCCTAAGGGAAATGAGTAATTATAATGATAATGCTATAATATGACACTTACATGACATTTATATACTTTTAAGGTTTGCAAAGCAATGTACATATTATCTTACTTGATCCTCTTAACAACCCTGAGAGGCAGGTGCTATTGTCATCCCCATTTTATAGATGGGAAAACTGAGACTGAGAGAGGTTAAATGACTTGCCCAGAGTCACACAGTTCATAAATGTAAGGAGGCAGAATTTGAGTTCAGGTCTTCTTGACTCCAAAGTCATCAAGGGAAGATAAAAAGATTACCCAACTTGGGAACAAAACAGAGGAAATTAAACCTCATTCCATAATCCAAAAAAACTGCTGCAAATAATTCAACTTTAGCAGACATTTATCGATCAATATGTACTGAACCATACGGTAGACACTGGAGCAGAAATGAAGATAAATCAAACATGATCCCTGAATTCCTAGCCTTTAACAACCTCATAAAGAAGTCTGGACTACGCACAAATAGTGATGCTCAAATGTACATTTGGCTTTTAATTTGGATTTTGGAAAGTTAATTGGGAAGTAGAAGGAAGAGGATTCCTATTTTACAAAGTACATACAAATCAAAGAAAGTAATTTCATCTAGCATCAAGAAATCTTCACAGAGCTACTGTTCCACAGAAGCATAGATTTAAGGTTGGTAAGGACCTTAACGATCACCTCGTCTAATCCATTCATTTTTAGAAATGATGAATCTAAGGCTCAGAAAGTGGAAGTAACTTGCCCACGGTGCCTATCACATAGTAGGTACTAAATAAATCCCGTATTGATTGGCTGCCCAATAACACAGTTATTGAGTAGCAAAATTAGGATTCACACCCAGCTCTTCTAAGTCTTAACAGTGCTTTTGTCACTACTACAAACTATGCTAGTTTGCATGGTCCATCAGAGTTTCACAGGACACCATTTAGAAAGGCCTTCTCTGATCTGCTGGCTTTTTGACATGTCTGATTTCCCCAGTCCATGTAGTCTCAGTGCGGGGCCAACCTATGTGAGGTAAGCACTTGTACGATTCAGCTGAATGTGTATTGTATATGTAAGGCCTCGTACAACATCTTAAAATTCTTTTGGCTGAATGTCTGTCTGATGTGGCAGACAGCCTCAGTGATATTGTTTCTTCCTAGAAAGTACTCACGTTTTGTCTCCTGTGGTCATACTAGTTGGGAGGTATGAATGAACTAAACAGATACAAACAGAGGCATTATTATGTAATGGAAAGAACACTGAATTTGAAGGTAAAAGACCTCAGTTCTAACCCTGGCTTTGCTGCTTGCTACCTGTGTGTCTGAGCAAATCATTAAACTCCTCTTAGATTCCTTTAATGTGAAGTGAAGGGATGGAGCTACTTAATTTCTAAAGTCCCTTCCTGCTTATGAATCTTATGAATCACCTTATGATCTTATGAACTGTCACAATGGTCTCCCTCTGTCTGGCCTAATACAGATGCCATCAAGTAGGAATAAAAACCAGAGGTTTGTGGTTAATTGCAGAATCACAGAGTTCAAGAAGAAGAAAGGGATGTGAGCAGTCATCTATTCTAACTCATCATACAGAAAAGGAGTTCCCACTGTAATGGATTTAACACACGGTAGTCCAGACTCCATTTGAAGACCCCCTGGGACCTCTCCAGGCAGCCTGTTCCTCTTTGGGATAGTTCTAATTTTTAGGAAGTTTTCCCTGACATCAAGCCGAAAATGGTCTCTTGGCGACTTCCCTTTTAATGCTAGCACCTCCCCTCTGAGGTTGCCCCTAATTTACCCTGTGTTTACATACAATGTTTCATATGTAGTTTGCATGTTATCTGCCCCATTAACATGTGAGCTCCTTGTGGGCAGAGACTATTTCCGATTTTCTTTGTATCCCTCATGCTTAGCCAAGAACCTGGAACATGGTGAGCACTTAATAAAATTGTCAAACAGAACAAATTTCATCCCTCCTCCATGGGGCAGCCCTTCAAAACCTTGAAGATTGCTACTACATCTCCCTCTAAGTTTACTCTTCTCCAGGTTAAATATGCCCAGCGGTTTCAACCCATCCCCACTTGACATAGATTCAAGGCCTTTCATCATCCTGGCTGCCCTCTTCTAGACACTCTACATCTTACCATCTTCTTTAAACTGTAGTGTCCAGAATTGATAACAATCGTCCAGATGAGTCTGCATATGGTAGAGTAGAGTAGTATGCTATCTCCTTCCTAGAAGCTGCTCCCCTCTTAATGCATGCAGTCCAGGATGGTATTAGCATTTTTAGTTGCCCTATCACATTGCTGACTCACACTGAGCTTGTGGTACACTAAAATCTCCAGATCTTTTTCAGAACAGTTTTCAGAAAACTATGCCTCCTCATATTGTACCTATGAAGGCATTTTCTTTTTACCTAAATACATGACTTTATATTTATCTCTACTGAAATTATCTTATTAGATTTAGTTGATCCTGACTCTGTCATCTATTATCAATAAGCCATTTCCATCTTTGTATCATCTGCAAATATGATAAGCATGTCATTTATGCCTTCAATAAAAATGTTATATAGTGTAGGGTCAGGCATAAATCCCTGGGAGTACTCCACTGGAGACCTCCTGTCACAATGACATCTACTTCCACTACAAGCCCCTTTCTGACAACCTGACAACAGGTCTTAAAGCAACTAACCCGGAAGAGAAGTCTTTTGCCTGAGCAGGGCTGGAGTTCTTGTCAAAAAGTCAAC